TTACAAACATTGCCACAGGTGTGCTTGTCGCTGATTGGTTGATACATACATACACAAAGAAACTTGTTGCTGATTGGTTAACATAAGCATAAGGCGGGAATTACATGTGAGAAATGGGGGTTACGTATGATCATTTATTATCGGTGGATTAAAGGCTGGGAATCGAAGTTAGAACTAGACAGGCATGAAGCCTCCTAATTAAATTGTAATGATGGATCAATCAAGTTCTGTAGATGTGGTCAGCTAGGCATGAAGAGCGGGTCATGTTGTTTTCCATGAGCTTAGGATGACTGAACAAGGAAAAGAATGTCCTGGTGTTTAGAACAGATCTGTACAGTGTGTGCAAAAGCAGGGAAAAGATTATAAGCAAGACTTCCCAGAATGCAAGAGAAAAGGTGCAAGGCTTCCCCAAAATGCAGCAGTTTTGTGCAGTTTTGTGCAGAAGGAGAACTAGCAGTTATATGCAGAAAGAGGACTTCCCTTTATCTCCCCCTTTCTTTTCTTGTTTGCGAGGCGTTCTGGGTAAATAAGGCAAAAATATTTCAGGATTAGTGGTGTGCCAGCAAATGCCCAAAATAAGTTCGCCAGGGTCAATGGGACAAAAATATTTCGGGATACGTGGTTTGCCAGCGCATGCCCAAAATAAGCCCGTCCACATCTCACCTTAAGTTTACTGTTGGTGTTGCCATTTCGCAAAGTAGGCAGCAAGGAGTTTATTAGGTGGTTGAGGGGGAGAGAGAAGCCGAGAGAAAAGACTTATGAGGCCAGGAACGCATTGGAGGAAGCAACATAACAAAATTAAGATGCATATAATAACAAGGGCATATTGAAAGAGATTACGAAGCCAGGTAAGATTAGGTAGCCAAGCAGTAAGCCACTGGGTGAAAGAACCCCAGAGGCCAGAAAATCCAACGTCTTGTTTAATGTGGTGTGTAAGATTTTGCAAATGAGAAATCTGGCTTTGAATGGCTTTAGAATTGTCAGTAATATTAAAACAGCACATGTTGTCCACTTGTTCACAGCCATAATGATGAATCATCAATAGATAATCGATAGCAGCGCGGTTCTGCAGAAGACCATGTTGGAGTTCACTTTGCTCTTTATTCAGAAGGTGAAGGGCTTGAGAAGTGTAATTCAGTGCTTTTGCTGCAGAACACGCTAAAGAATTAATGTTTCTACTATTGCGTACAGCCAATCCAGGGACTCCTAGGAGGGAAACAGCTAAAGAGATATATTCAGACCTACTGGGAAGAGAAATTGAATCATCACAATCGTTAGTCAATTCAACAGAGCGGCGATTTCGAGAGCGGGTCAAATGATGCTTTTTAGGTAACACGATGGACAAACGGCTTAAACAGCAAGGTGTGCCATGGCTGATGTTTGCTGGAATGTAATTAAATGTATAGCCGGGACACGACCAGAACCAGCCTGCAGGCAGCTCAGTGTATTTATATACATAGGAAATATTTACATAATCGGAGCAATTAAAATTATACTTGCCCATTTGCACACAGTTGGGTTTTGTGCAATTCACCATACGGGCACAAGTGACATTAAATGAAGCCACGTATGGGGTTGATAAGTCAATGGCCAGAGGTGGGCGTCGGCGCACTTGGTTACCCCAGTTATGGTAACCATAATAACCAAGGGTGCGGAGAGAATCATTTTGGGGTAGGGATGAATAAAACCAGGTATCATTTTGCATATCTAAAGGGTCATGGCAAACAGGGATAAGGCAGGAGCCAAGGATTTCACCAATTGATACCTGTTGGGTTAGACAAAAGGAAGAGACATTGAGTGTTTTTGCAAATGATTCCCACACATTCATTGATGTGTAGGTATTGCTAATAGGAGTGGAGGCCGAGAGAGGCACAAACAAAACACTGAGAATGATTACTACCATCGAATTAATGTTAAGACAAGAAATAACGCACAAAAGCAAATTCTCAGGAGTTGCTTCAAGCTGCCTTTCCTGCCTAAGCTGTTCGGCCTGAAAGGAAAGTGATTTTATTTGACCCCATGTCACAGGTCCATTACGATGTTCCCGCTTGCGAATCCTGGGGGGGCTGGACATCGCATCCTGGGCGATCTGTAGTTTGCGGTTGAACTGCGGTATCGGATCCGGAAGGGTCTGTCGCCACGCCATGGTGCAGGCGGATGCAGCGTGCAGGAACCCAGCGAGCACCCTGTGGAGTAGAAACTGCAGCGTAACCCTTTCCCCAGGTGATGAGTTTTACAGGTTCACTCCATTCGTTGGAGGGCAATATCTTATAGCGGACCAGTGGGGCTGGGAGTATCTCTGTTTGTTGAAAATGCTTTTGCAGGCGAGTATAAGATTGATGATCCTGTATGGAAAGATTCAAATGGTTGAGAGTAAAAAGAACACTGGCCAACCAGCCTTCCTTTTCGGAGAGCGAGGCTGGGACTCCGGCCTTTTTTTCCTGTCTAAGTAAAGCAGTTTTCAAGGTGCGATTGGCGCGTTCAACAATCGCTTGGCCTTGTGAATTGTAGGGGATGCCAAATAAATGACGAATATTCCAAGTTTCACAGAACTGAGCAAAGGATTTTGCGCAGTATGCTGGGGCATTGTCAGTTTTTAAAGAATGGGGCTTGCCCATGACTGACATAGTACGAACCAGATGGTTGCAAACATGCTTAACCTGCTCACCCCTTTGAGGGGTGGCCCAAATAAAGCCTGAAAATGTGTCAATGCAAATGTGTAAAAACTTCCAGGGTGAAAAGGGGGCAAAATGAGTTACATCCATTTGCCACAATTGGTTGGATTCCAGCCCGCGGGGGTTTACACCAGGGCTGGGATGGCCAATCTGATTAGAGCATTGAGGGCATTGCTGGATAATTGCACGTGCCGCTTCCAACGGAATTTGGAACTGACGGCTAAGGGCTTTTGCATTTTGATGATGGAAAGCATGACTTTCAATAGGAGAAACAGGCAAAGCTCTAAGCAAGGAATCTGCTTTTGCATTGCCATCAGTGAGAAAGCCTGGGAAGGGTTGGTGAGAACGAATGTGCACCACAAATAGAGGGTGGGAGCGATTGGAAAGAAGCAATTGTAAGGAGAGGAAAAGGCTCAATAAGTTGTCATCCAATAAAGGACTCACATAACTGCCTTGTAGGCGAGTTATGACATTTGCAACATAGAGACTGTCCACAACCAAATTAAAGGGTTGTTTGGAGAAATGGTGCAGAGCTTTGACAGCAGCTGCTAACTCAGAACGCTGGGCAGACTTTTGTGGAAGAGTGTAGAGGCTGTGCCATTCCTCATTTTGTTGCCAGGCAACCACCCCTCTAGAGGGGGCATCGTCAGTAAAGACAGTAAGGGCATCCAAAGGGACGGGAGATAATATGGAAGAAAAGGACAGGGAAATTTGCTTGCTCATTTGCAGGCGAGGGTCGGCTGGAATATGGCAACCCACTTGGCCGACAAAGTCGGCTAAAGCACACTGCAAATCCATGCTAGTGGAGAGAGCAGTTTCCCATTGTTCTAAAGGCATGGGCACAACAATTTGGCGGCAATCAACGCCAAAAAGGCTTTTGCAGCGACGGCGTCCCTTGCTGATGAGTTGAGCAAGGAGATCCACTAAGGGAGTCACCGTGTTCTTTGGCGTATTATGTAAGTACAGCCATTCAATTATATGAACTTTCGATGGTCCTAACTGGATAATGGCCGCAAAGGGTTGAACAGAATCTGTCATTATGACCACATCGGGCAAAACATTAAGGATTGCTCGATCAACCCAGTGGAGACGCATGATTTCCTTTAACTGGGCAACAGTCTGCTGTTGAGAAGAGGTCAAGGTGATTTTTGTGCCAGGAGAGTGATGGCCCTTTAAAGCTGAAAAAAGCGGCCGTAGAAGTTCAAGTGGGATCTTAAAATAGGGTCTTATCCAGTTGATATTGCCCAGCAATTGCTGCAACTGGACATATTTCATCGTTTTTGGAACATGAAGTTCAGGAACAATAGGAATAGAATAACTAGCTATCATTTTGTGTCCCAAATAATGAAAGGGAGAAGATTCCTGGATCTTTTCTGGAGCAATTTTCAAACCATAAAGGGACAAACAATTTATCAAATCACGTTTCCAGTGGGGGGGGAGGCGTGGCCCACTAAGAAGCACGTCATCTGTGTAATGGAAAATCAAGAGGTGTGGATACTGCAAACGGAAAGGCTGAAGGGCTTGATTCACATAATATTGGCACATGGTAGGGGAATTCAACATTCCTTGAGGTAAAACCTTCCATTGGAATCTCTCTGTTGGCTGACTATTATTTAGTACAGGAACAGTAAAGGCAAAAAATTTACGATCCTTCTCCTGTAAGGGAATGGAGAAGAAGCAATCTTGCAAATCTATTATTGCCAATTGATATGAATGTGGAATCATATTTGGGTTAGGCAGACCACACTGTAAAGGCCCCATGGGTTCAAGGATCTGGTTGATTTTCCTCAGATCTTGGAGAAATCTCCATTTTCCACTTTTCTTTTTAATGACGAAGACAGGGGTATTGTAGGGGCTTACTGAAGGCTCTATATGGTCTGCCAATAATTGCTCATTCACCAATTGTTTTAAAGCAAGCAGCTTTTCTCCCGTAATGGGCCATTGTTCAACCCATACTGGACTAGTAGATTTCCAGCTGAGGGGAAGCGCAAGCTTACTCATTAAATTGGATGGTAGCTTGTAATTGTTGCAGTAAATCTCTTCCCCACAGATTGAGATGGATTTTTAGCACACAGGGCTGGATGTATGCAATGGTTTCAGAGCTATCAGGGAGAGAAACAGGCAGCCACTGTACGCTTTTGGAAGAATTTTGGGGGCCACCCACACCCCAGACTGCAGAAGCAGACTCAAGGGGCCACGTGGGGTCCCAGCAATTACTGGAAATTACAGAAATGTCTGCACCTGTGTCAATCAAGCCTTCCAGAACTTTGCCATTTATTTTATACTTACGAAGAATTTTCTGTTCACCGATCCTCTGGATTACCGCCAATAGCTGTGGAGAGAGAGGAGAGAGCTGGTGCAAATTACTATCCATCATAGAAGCAGTAGGAGGAGTAGGAAGCACTACCAAATGTGCCCAAGAGTCGCCCTTTTTTAACTGCATGGGCATATGGCTCCAAAGTTGAAGCATAATTGTGCCCACGTAGTCAGGATCTAAGACTCCCGGAATAACCATGATTCCTTCTTTGGCTGCAGAAAATTTGGGTAGAATCAAACCTGCGACCTTAGGAGGTAGTGGGCCTGCCAATTGGGTGGGCATGAGCACGATTTCACCAGGTAAAACAGCATCTTTGGTTTCCTGATTAATTAAATCAATGGTGAAATCTGAAGGTGTTTCCTCAGGAAAGGCGTCAACGGTGGAGACTGACGGCAAAGAACTCTCTATTTCTCCTGGCCCGAGAGCGGGGCCAACATGGAGTTTCCCGAACTCCTGCACTGATTTGCCCAATGATAGCCTTTACCGCATTTTGGGCATTTTTTGGAAGGTTTAGCCTTATTGGCATCACCATTCCTGTGCGCCCCACCGCCAGGTGCTCTGCATTCTTTTGCAAAATGTCCTGGGCGCTTGCAGTTGAAGCAATTGCCTGTTGGCTTGTTGCCAGCTTGGATGGCGCCAGCGAGCAAGGACATCGCATGACTCTGGCTTCCAACATCCGCACATGCTTTTATCATATCCGCCAGGTCATATTTAACACGTTGGATGACGGACTGTAAAACTTTTTTGCAATCTGTGTTAGAATTCTCAAAAGCCAATTTTTTCTTTTTCTTTTTTTCAAAATTCTTTTTATTAATTATTCCATAAAAAAACAAAAATTAACACACAGATAAAAGAAACGAAACACAAGAAAGAGAAGACTTACAAAGAAATAAGTAGAAAGTACACAAGATTCTTATTTTCACAATTCTCCTATAACATAACTGTTTCTTTCAGGACTTCCTTCAGCTTGGCCGCGAATCATTCGAAGCAAATAAATAAAGTTACACGTTTCATCGTTTATATTGTCATTGTATCCAATGGATACAAAAGCCAATTTTTTCATCAACTCATTCTGAGCTGTGGTGTTATCAATCTGCCGAGTAACTGCTTCTTTTAATCTATCTATAAATTGATGGTAAGGCTCTGAATGCTGTTGCTTAATATTGACAAAGGAGCTCAGTGGTTGCCCTGAGACAGGGACTTTCCGAAAGGCGCGCTGTACACAGGTCGCAGTGCGACTAAAATGTGCAGGTGTCAGCGTCGCCTGGGCTGTTATAGTGTCAAACAGACCAGCACCATAAAGTTCATTGGCTGTATGCTGTGGGTCAGACAGGGCTGAGGCATTATGTTTAAATTCACTGTCAAAAACCACATAATGTGCCGGGGACAGAAGCATACGCATAAGATCCTTCCAATCCTGCGGCAGCATCGTATAACCATTTGCTATTCCCTCCAGCATGCCTGTCACATAAGATGATTTTAAGCCAGAATCAACAATGGCCCTTCTCAATTCTCGCATTACGGAGTAAGGAAGGGTTTCATACAGCACCTGTTGTTGCGCTGTGCCTGGGTTTACATAAGAAATGGGGAAAGCAGATGGGGTTGAGCTGGAGACAGGGAAAGCTGATGGGGTTGAGCTGGAGACAGGGAAAGCTGATGGGGTTGAGCTGGAGACAGGGAAAGCTGATGGCATTTCACCAGCCCACTCAGATTCTTCCTCTAAGGAAAGGAGACCTTTCTGCCTAGCTTGAGAAAGTGCAACACGGACAGCTCCCGTGAAACAGGCAGGAGCTGAGGCAGGCAAGGGAGGGGTGGAAGGAGGGAGGGAAGAAAGAGGGGGGGAAGTAGATGTGGGCTGAGACAAAGTGTAGCCTTATTGGAGTTCACCGATTGGGTCTGCGTTGCTCCGTGACAGGAGGAAGGAAGTCAAAATGACACCGAGTTGGTTCAAAGAAAGAGTTTATTCTGCTCTCCGGATAGCAGAAGGCACTTGCGTGGTGAGTCCACAGCAAGTCCAAAGAAATGACAAGTTTCATGCAGTATATATATCCTCCAGGCACCCTCTCCCTCCTTCCAACCACGTCAGCTTGTATAAGTAGGTTGACATCACATATGTTCCTGCTCCGGCACTCTTAACCATAAAAGGGATTTCCTTCCTGTACTCCTGACCATAAAAGGGTATTCCTGTTCCTACTCCTATCTTGGAGCAAGAGGTCACTACTTCCGAGAACATGCTCTGGCGTTAGTCCCAGACTTGGGTCTCTGCGTCATTTGTGGTCAGGACATAAGATATGTCTGTGTCTGTTCTACTGCTAAAGTCAAGGCCAGTCTTGCCGTCAAACTGATAAGGGAGAGAGCTGTGTTCTTGTTTTGCATTTGCTCAACGGCTAAAGTTTATGCATTTTAACTAAGGAGAAATGGGGATTTTGGTGCAGTTTAAAAAACTGCCTGCACAGTCAGTTTTGGGTTTTGGAAACCCATTCCTTCAGTATGAATGTTAAGAATGTGTACGATTTGGAAATTTTTGCTTCAGCAACTTGAATAGGGGAATTGGAAATTAAGCTATAAGAAAGATGAGGCAGACAACATGAAGTAACCATACTATGTTTATTTATAGGGTACAAATAACTGAGAAACAGTATTTTAAATGTGGAAACATAGTATTTGAAAGATACAGCAAGACATGAAATAAGGTAACAAATTGCTGATGTTACAATTGCAAAGAACGCAGAATTCGGAAGATGTGGGGAAGTCCAATTGGAATTGTCAAAGTATTTTGGAAAGTTAGAATTTATGTATACTTTCTTTTTCTTACTTTTACTTTCTACTTTTTATTCTGTAAATTTCTGAATATCTGAAAGAAAACTTAATAAAATATTTATAAAAAAAAAAACAAGACTCCCAGCTGACCAATAGGGCCGTTTAATAGGGCTGTTTAAACAGCCTTGGCAGCGCTCTGCTCCCAGTCGCTTCCTGCTTTCTTTGGATCTCCCTCCCTCTTAGGTCAGCTTCTTTTGTGTATTGACCTTGCCATGGTCTTCGGTTGGTTGCCTTGGTTGCCCAAGGGGCCTGGTAGTAGGACTTCTTTATCCATTTGGCAAATTGGCACCAGCCTCTTGGTTTTTTCGCCTACCTCGTAGCAATTCGTCACAACTTTCTGGTACTGGCGGTTAGGCATTGGAATAGGTGTGCTGTGTTGGAGGACTGGGTATGGGCCATCATCTACCCCTCCTCTTTGGATATTCCGTTAAAGGAATCCGGCAGTTGTGGATCCTGTCCGATGCCCTGCTGGTGGCTAGGGCCATGGCACGACCCCCGGAGACGTCATGGGGGAGCTTCCAGTTGTATTTGCATCAACAAGCTCCTCCCATTGATTGCTAACCCTGACATGACTCCCGGCTGTGCGGGTTGGAGTCTGGTATTGCTGTTTCATCCAGTGCCTAAGCCAATACTACTCACATGCTGCAACCAATAAAAGTTGTGGCCTAATTTTGCCCATTAACCTAAAATAATGTGTCTGTGTGTCTTATTATACTCCTATGTGGGTGGAGGCTCCTCAACTCACAACTATAGATTCCTGATACTAAAAAACCTGGGAGGCAGCACTGTTTGAGAAGCCGACACGTAAGTGCAAGGTGATGCAGGGCCAGTGTAGAAATGATTCATTTTTGGCAGTATGGCATGATTTTATTGTTTTTACAAACATGGAGGAATATTGCCTGCTTTTGCCTCATGTTTTTCATTGCCTGTGGGCATTATGAAAAGCGTGAGGAGGGTATAAAAGCTTAATGTAAAGATCTTAATACTGACACTATTGACAGCCTACAACAATTTCTGTGTAATGATTTCATATATCTTCCGGGATTATCTGTTATCATTTATGCTGTATCTGAATGTTGATTTTTAAAAAGCGATTTAATATTTGAAATCTACATTTTAACTGTAAAATTAATCAATCTAAGAACAATCACAATTCCTCTCCTTCCATACATGCATGTGTCTGTTTATGAAATGTGGGTTTAAGTGCACAGGTCTGGATGCCTGTAAGCTCTCAAAATTAGTATTTCATAACCAGACAGAATGAACCAAGCCCTGTGGGTTTGTGTGTGTCTCCAGTTAATGATTTCAATGTTTTGGCTCAATGCCTTGGCTATCTGGAACCCAGCCTCACTCCCACACTGTTCACTGGAAACACAAGGAGACCTTGTGCAAGCTGTAGGTTGGCATTAACTTGAACTATGGAGTTGTGCAAATGATGTTGGCTTAGGGATGGGCCTTGAGAATCCAGATGGGCAGGGAACTATAGGGCATTGCTTCATAGAAAGGACAAAGGGGGGGGAGCCACCTACTGAAAACCCCAAACACAAAGGACTAATAATGTCACCCGTCATTTATATAGCTCTTTCAGCTCCTCCAGACAACTTATTTATTGAGGCACCATCCTGATTTGCTTGCATAAAGCTTATGCAGAGCTTGATTATACCCAGTCTTTATTGTGCAGCTATTTTGCTTTGTCTGTGGGGCAATTAATACAACAATAAACATTCAACCAGGTTTGCTTGCATGGTGCTTATGTCTTCCCATTAACTATTTGTTCATCCCATACTTTCCCTGTCCCATTTCTAACCTTCAAAATTTCCATTGAATGAAACACTTTAGTCTGCTTTAATTGTGCAAAGCTGAATTTCCTGATATGCGGTTGAAGCCCTCCTGCAATATACTGCCTGCCTGGAGGCACCCTTAGAGCGTATGTAAAGTGTTTTGCATACAATGGCTGCATTCACGCATCATAAAAAGGCAGAGCACCACTAAGCTGATGCACACTGCTTGATTGCTCCTGCTGTGCTCCCCTTCTGGTGCAAGCCAGAGAAACAAGCCAAGAAGCCACAATTAAGCTTGATTTCCCACCCCAGCCTTAAACCCCAATCCCATGTTCACATGTCACAGGAAGCTAACATACGTTTCTCCAATGCAAATAGGGACATCCTACTCCGTAACGATGATGATGATGATGATGAACGCTGTACAGTGGCACCTCGGGTTAAGAACTTAATTTGTTCCGGAGGTCTGTTCTTAACCTGAAGCACCACTTAAGCTAATGGGGCCTCCCGCTGCTGCTGCGCCGCCGGAGCACAATTTCTGTTCTCATCCTGATGCAAAGTTCTTAACCCGAGGTAATATTTCTGGTTTAGCCGAGTCTGTAACCTGAAGCATCTGTAACCTGAGGTACCACTGTATTTTAATGTTTGAAATGGTTTTGTTTTATACAGTATGTATAAAATTTTTCAAAAACTTAATAAAAAATTGTATACACACACATATAAAATATAATATAAATCTCTCGCCCTCCATAAAAAACACACCTGGAGGGCATCCGGGATGTCAAAGCCGGCTGGGCTCTAAGGGTGCGAGGCGCCTCTTCCCCCTTCCTGGCCGCTGCGCGTGGGAAGGCGGGCTTCTTCCCGCCCCGGAATGTGGCGCTTTCCTGACAGGCCTCCCCTGCTCCACGCGTGTCTGTGGGAATCCCCTGGCGGGGGCGCGGCCAAACTTTGGGGGGGGGGAGACACACCGAGTTATCTGTGACGCAGTTGGTTAGCTACGTGTTTTCATGTCCTTGGCTGAGGGGCCCCGCTGCGCGTGGACGCGGCACGCGAGGAGCGCCGCCGCCGCCTCAGGGCCTTTCCGGGGTCGGGCCGCCTTCGCGCGCGCTCCTCCTTGCGCCTCTCCTGCCGCCCCGCTCGCTCCCTCCGGCCGCCCGCCCGCACACTCGGCGAAGCGGAGGCTCCGCGGGAGAAGCGGCGCCTGGCGGCTCCTGCTCCGCAAACCAGCGCGGGATCCGCCGCCGAGATTTCTGCGGGAGGTAGGACCGGGCTGCGCTCTTCATCTGCGCCAGGAAGCTCGTGTGAATGAGCAGCGGTTGCGGGTCGGGGCGGCAGGGCGGGCGGGCGGGCGGGCGGCGCGCCTCTGGAGCTCCGCGCCCGGCGGCCCCTCCGCCTGACTGCCCGTCCGCCGAGGGCGAAAGGGGCGCGGAAGGACGCCTTCTCCCTCGCTCGCTCCCCGGGCGCGTCGGAATCCACGAGTTGCCCAGAGGTGGCGAAGACTTCCCGAGTGCCAGAAGGGCTCCCAAGTGGAGGAAGGAGGCTGGGATTTTTGTTGCAACCACATGAATATGGATTCCTATCCCCCCCCCAATGCTTTTTGGGGTAGAGTTGTGATGATTTGGTTGCCCCTCCGCAGGTGGAAAAATAACGTTTATAGAGGACGTAGGAACAAGTGGAAGTGGCCCTGACAGGATTGAAAATAAATTAAAGAGGCACTGACTTAGTCCTCCCGGAGAGGCTGGCGCACTGCAACTCCCATGATTCCACAGCACGGACCAGGCTGCCTGCAAGGGGTGGTTGTCGGAAGGGCCACATTCACCCCGATTTCGCCTGCTGTCCATTTTCTGCTTGCAAGTCTAACTAAATTAGGGAAACAGGAGCAGGGTGTTGGAAAACCTAGCATGGAAGCATAGATATCCTGAAAGTTGTATGGCAAGTGGAAGGTGTTTTATTTTACAGGCAGATGAGCTTTGAAGAAAATTGTACTTTGTAGGTGCAGCAAATGGAACTGGACCTCAGGGCTGTTTTCTAGCTACCAAAGTGGATTAGGGTTGGGGAACAAACTAGAAATAAATATTTCAACGGAACATTAAAACATATATACAGTGGCGTAGCGTGGGTTGTCAGCACCCGGGGCAAGGCAAGTAATTTGCGCCCCCTAACCTGTGGATTTGCGCCCCCTAACCCATGGATTTGCCCTAACCCCAGATGTTGCGCCCGGGGCGGCCGGCCCCCCCTGCACCCCCCACGCTACGCCACTGCATATATATCTGTGGGGGAAATTGTGGGTCTGTGCTTGGCAGAACTTGCATATATGATTGAGTATATTGGAACCAGCCAGACCTATGCTTAGATCTGATTATTTATTTATTTATTTATTGGGGCATTTATTTCCTGCCCTTCTAGTATAAATATACCAAGCAGAGTGGCTGACAACATATCAAAATTGCAAATGCATTAAAATAGTAGAAAACTCTACAGCAGCTAAAAAATCCTAAAGACGTTGGGCTGGATTCAGCTAACCTGGTGCACTAGTAGAAGGCAGCTGCAGTGACCCTCCTGCTTCCCCCAAATCTGCTCTGTTGTGTTGGGAGAACCCGCAGAACAGTTCACGGGGGGGGGGGGGAATTGTTCCGTCTGATAAGCAGAAATACTTGTGCTGATGGAATGGCTGTATTAATGTGATGTTGAATCCTACCCATTGTTCCAGGGGTTCTGTTAAGGCCTGGAAATTGCATATAGCCAAATCCTTGGAGCCGCCCGGTGGGTGGGGTGGGTGCCGGGAGAGGGCATCTCCAGCACTCCCACAGCCGTGCCCACAGCGGGACTTGCCCAGCACGCAAGGCCTGGAGCTTCAAGCCCTTTTTGTACTGGGTAACCACAAGTGGCCCCGGCGTGTGAAGAGCTTTTCAACGCTTCGCCTTGCTTGGGACTTGAGTTGCACAGTTTCAACCAGCCATCCTTCAGCCGTGTATGGTTGAAATTGCCCAAGCCACATGCATGTAAAATGAGAGTTTACTGTAATAGAGGAGGAGCCGGCAGGAGCATTAATGGCTACCTAGAGTAGTACAGGCAGTGGATTGTCAAGGTGACAGCAAAGAGAAGAGCAGAGGCCTTGCAGGCCTCTAAGAAGAACAGCCACCGCAAACCCCCAGCCCAGGGGTCTGCAACCTTTAAGACAAAAAGAGCCACTTGGACCTGTTTCCGAAGGAAAAAAACTGGGAGCCGCAAAACCATTGCAACATTTAAAACAAATATAACACTGCATATATTGTTTCTTACCTCAATGTCCGATCTAACAGCAGGCAGGAAGGTGACGTCGGGACGGTGTGTGACTAACGCACGCACCACCCCCATGCGACGTCACAGCCAGTACAGCGCCCGCCACAGTGGGGAGTGTTGGGGCGCACAATGCGCCTCCTCCCCTCGCTAGTATCTGCCCCGGAGCCGCGGCAAAGGTGTAAAAGAGCCACATGCGGCTCCGGAGCCACGGGTTGCAGACCCCTGCCCCAGCCTATATCATCCCAGTGTATTCACAAATCAGAATCCTCTTCGGCCTCCTTTGTCAAAGCGCCCACACTAGGTGCTCCTCAGTCTGTTCTTGAAATGCTCCAAGGAATGAGATTCACCTTCATTCCCAATTAACCATTTATTTCACTGGTACTTAAAATATTTCTTCAGTTGCCCTTTTCCTTTTATTTAAATGCATCATTGCTTGTTTTGTGCCTTTATGAGGAGTAATTCATACTTCCATTTTTTGCTGACGTCTGTCCGTGTTCTCGCATGTGGGGTTTTCCCTCTTCCTGGGCTGCTCATAATCATCTTCAACTTTTCCTTTCTACAGTGCAGAGCTTTCTGGTGCTCTTTATCTTTCTAACCCTCCTCAGAATTCTTTCCAGTTTGTCAACTTAGCAAAGGCACTTCTGTTTGCTCAGAGGGTCATGGGGTGGTCTGAAACTGGAGCAATTTTCATGGTTGCTCTGCAGCAAATTGGCATTTGATCTAAGGTCAGGAGACTCGTAGATTTTGTTTGAAAAACTCCTGAGATGCACACACCCCCTTTCTGCTTCCCGCCTCAGTGTTTCTACTAAAGAATAGGCATAGGGCTGCCAACGCCACACGCTTGCAAGGGGCTAAATTTTAAGTAAGGGCGGC